TTCCTTACTCAGGGCAGACACTGCCCACTCCCGACGCCTTCTCCCATCACCTATATTTGGGACCCCAGTGCATAAAGCTCCCAGTCCTCGCCTGAGGCAGCTCCTGGGCCGACCTTCGAGTGTCCCCTCCCGCCCTCTGGGCGTCTGCACTGTCTGTTCCCCTGGTTTCAGACCCTCCGACTTCCTGGGCGCTCAGCTCACTAGCATAAACTAGTTGCCCACCACGCATCCCCAATCAGTCGTCTCCCTGGGACTCATCTCTTCTTCCTGGCCGCAGGGGCTCGTTCATTTGAGGATGGGAGCAGGACCTTCACCACCCCTACCTTAGGCGGCCTGACGGCTTCCTCACCGCTCCGCCCCCGCCCAGGCCCCAGAGCTGCTGGGGGAGCCAGGAGTAATTTATCTTTGCCTGGCGCGGGTTGGGATTTGTCCGGCTCTGATGCCAACGAGGAAGGCGTGCGGATAACGAAGTAAGTGTCCCCCTCCCCCTGCGCTCTGGTCAGTCCCCAGACGCCCCAGAGCAGTCTGGGAAAGGGCTCGAGCCCACCCTAGTTGATCTGCCTTCTAGGCGCGTGCCCTCGGGGCGTTCTGGCCCCGGGCCCCAGTCTCCTTGGCACAGGCAGTTTCCAATCCAAGCCTGGGGCAGTTATGAGTCCGTGAAAATGTTGGTCGCCTAATTCCCCCCGGACAGTCCGCGGCGGAAATTGGCTTCAGAACTGGTGTGGGCTTCATTTGAGAGAAACGATTCCCTCCCGCCCTCCTCTTGCCCCCAGCAGAGCAAGACCCGGGTGGGGGTGGGGGCGCGGAGAGGGGGAGAGGCAGGCCTGCGTGGGTTCCTAGGAGCCATAGAAGGCTTTCGACGCTGGCAATTCCCGTAGAGTTTTTCTTGTGTGTGCGAGAATGGAGGGAAAACGCGGCACAACTTTCCCGTGTTCTCTAAGAGGCAGCGCACCGCCGGAAGGGCCTCTTTGCCTGGGCGACCAGACTTGAAATCCAGGAAGCCTGGTGATGGATGCTGGGCCCTCAGAGGTGTGGGTGGCCGGGCTGAGGGCCGGCGTTCCACGCCCGGCACCCGGTACCCTACGCCCAGGCAGTCGGGCCTAGACCGTCCTGCGCGGTCATTGGGGAAGGAAGGTTGGCCACAGTCAAGAGCTAGCACAGTAGAAACGTCGGTGTCCAGAGAGAGAAATCAAGAAATGTTGCCATTTAAAAGTGCAGGCCATAAAAGGAGAAGAAAGGCCTGACAAGAGATAGAGAGAAAAGGGGAGAACATGAAAATAAGCAAACACATGCACATTTAAGCCCAGCGCATAAAGATCCGTTGATTTTTAAAATAACAAATCTCAGTGTGATTATGAAAGACAGGCGACCTTTGACTAAATGACATATGAAAAAAATTGGGTGTGGGGGAGGAGAGGGGGAATAGTCTTAGTAGATTCCCGACAGAAACGTCAGTGAGAAGCAAGTTGAGGGATAAAAATGTCCCCCAATGTGAACTTTATGCTTTGAGCACTGGAGCAAACTATCTGTACAAAAATGCGTTTTGGATCAAATTATTAAAAAAAAAAAAAAACACACACAAATGTAATTAAAACCAATTCTTTTCTTGAGTGTGATTTTGTTTAAAAAATGTTTGAAAATAAACCACTTGAGGAATATAAAACGAAACCAAACAAAACTTTTGAATCATAATTTATTTACTGTTTTAAAAACTAGAAAGTCTTAAGCAAAAGATAAAAATGCTATTTAAAATTTCTTATTGTCAAAATTAAACATGGTGAAAATAATTGCTTACTTCAGTTGAAATAAGGTCAATACAAAAATCGTGCAGTAAAAAGCTTATGTAATTTGAAACAGAAAAGGCCTTTATTAGGGACAAAACTCAAGGGGGAAAAAAAACCCACACCGGGCATATATCACAAAACTTACTAGAACTGTCCTTTTCTAAATCGAAAGAAATTTGTAAAATGTGTTAATAAACATAAATCTGCAAATATTCAAAATATATTTCTTGTAATAACTCATAGTTTCCGGTATTTTCTTTTATGTTAAACGCACCTTTATGTATTTTGAGTTCTTTTGACCAAAATGATAGTTTTGTTCACTATCAAAAACGGACAAGAAGAAACTCTACTAATGAGAAAATCAATTAATTTAAAAGGGTGCAGAGTCTGAAAGGAAAATAGCCACAATGTACATTTAATTGTACTTAATTGTATACTTTATTTAAATCACCCTTCTCAGGGGTTTAATAATTTAGAATCAATAGTTCCCTTCAAAACATAATAAAATATTTACACTTTATAAAATATTAACCCATTAACAATACCGCTGTGTTGTTTTTATAAGAGTGTGACTGAAGTCCCATAATCATGCTGTTGACATAAGCATGTGAGGTTAGCGAAGTGATCCTTCGCAAAATGTAAATGAAGATCTTCAGACAGTGGTGTTTATAAAATAGCTCATTAATGACTTAAGATTGAATCGCTCCAACCATTCGCATCATCAGATATAATAATAGTGACGAATCAGACAGGAAAGATCCTGGCTAAACCATTTGCATTTTTTTTCCAGAAGTACTGAAGTCCTAATATCACCATTTCTTCTAAGTTCCTGGACACTGATCCGGAGGAGGATTCTGCAGTTCAACACCAAGGTAAGGAAAGAAACAGCATTATTATCGTTGTTAAGATATTTATAAGAATTGCGCCTCTCCCCATTTTGAAAACGGGCTCAAACTTTGACAGTGGTAGTTGCCTTTTGCAAAACCCCCTTCCCATTCCGACGTGAAAGTACAGGTTAAAAAAAAAAAAGTTTGTTGATCAAACTTACAGTTTGTTTCTTTGCAGCCAAAAACCTTTTAGCTACCACCACGAGTTGGTTTACTTGAGCCACTTTGTTCTCACAGACTTCGAATTGTTGCATTTTCTCTAACCCGTTCGTTCAGGGAGGTAGGGGAGATGGGGTTTGGGCAATAAAAAAACAAGGAAAGGAAAATGCTGCCTAAAACTCCCAGGGTGGCTCCCCGAAGGTTTACTATCAAGCTTGCTTCCTTTCTCCGCTGGGCTCCGACCGCCTCCCGGGTCGCCACCGGCTGCTTTGGAACTTGGTGGGCGGCGCCTGGGTGCGGGGGTTCTCCGGGATCTGGGCGTTGAGACTTAGGCCGGGGCAGGTTTAGTTTCTGGGACCCTTTCTCTTCCAGAGGCTTCCTCGCCTCCCAGGCCTCTGCTTTTGAGGGGATGACTGCGCGCACGCCGCCCACCGGGTAGGTGCGGCGAGTAGACGGCGGCCTACCTCCGGGCACACTAGGCTGAGGCGGCTTCCCGCAGTCTGTGCACCGGCCCGAGATTTCCAGAGTTACCCCCGAAGCGCGTTTCCCAAAACCGAATTTAGTTTGGCCCTCTGGCGCCGCCGTACAGCCAATACTTCTTAAGGGGGACCGGCGGCTCAGGCAGCGAGATGGTGGGGAGTTCTCCGGGTCCAGGGGTTTAGGAAGGAGACACAAGGTGCGCGGTAGAGACTGGAGGTGCCGCCAGCAGAGGAGCTTCACCGGCCTCAAGGCGGGCTGGACGCGTCCTCATTTTCTCGCCACAGTTCGGGACCAAGAGTGTAAGCCGGCGCCCCAGGCGTCTTGCGGGGGCCGCGGCCCCTACCCACGTGCTTTTCTTTAAGGAGGTCCCGCGCCCAAGCCGGACCTTAGGGACAAAAGCGCGGCCGGAGCTCGGCCTGCTCCGCTAGTGCCTGCGCCACCTTAAATGAGCACCGCGGCTGGAGTCGGGCTGCGGGCGGCTGCGGCCGCGGGAGTCGGCAAAAGTTTGTGGCTCAGTTACACCATCGCGGGACCTGCTGTGGACGCCCCCGCGCGGCCTCCCCCGGGACGAGGAGACCAGGTCCTCACCGCACACTCTGCCCGTACTCGAAGCCTAGTGCCTGAGCCGCTTGGGGTCCCAGGAGTCCCAGACCCGCAGCTGGAGGACAGGCAGCCCCACCGCCCTCATTGCCTCCGCGTCACGGCCTCCAGGCGGCCCGGGCGGAGCTGCTTGAGATGTCGCCGGCGCTGCGAGCGCTCCAGGGACGTCATCCAGGGATGCCCCCCGCCCTGCGCCCCCCACGCAGCCCCCTCTCCTGTCCCACCCGCAGCCCGGCGGGTAGTGCTGGTACTCCTGCCACTCAGGACACCCGGGCTATTGTTCTGGACCCACGGCCGCGCCGGCTCTGAGGGAGAAGCGGCCTTCCCCGCGCGCGCTGCGGCGCGGCGGGCCCGGACGGCCGGCTCCGCGCGAAGGGGGAGCTCACAGGCATCGGGAAAAGTTGCTCGGAGGGGCGGAGGCGGTGGGTGGTGGGCGGAGGCGGTGGGTGGGGGAGGCGATAGCCCTCCTATCTCCAAAGTCGAAAGTACTCGGCGCAGTTAGCAGAACCGGGAGCCGAGGCAGCCGCGGTTGCCTACTGCGCGTCGGTCTGCGCCTCCGCGGGGAAACGAGGCAACCAGCGCCTGCCTCGTCGCCGCCGCCTCCGCGCCGGGACGAGTGCACCTCGGGGCCGGGCGAGGCGGCCGCGCCCCGGACCCGCCACGAGGAGGAGGACCAGACCCGAACCTCAGCGCCCGCCTGCACCGGGGCGCACCCACCCGCCGGCCTCGGCCACCGCCTCGCGCGGCACTCGGTTCTCTACCATCGGTCCTCTGCCGCCCGACGCGCGCGGTCCTCGCCACACCGCTCTGCTACAGCCGACTCTCCCCTTCCTCCTCCACCCTCCTCCCTGCCTCCCACCCGCCCCTCGCCAGTCCCTCTGCCTCCTCCTCAGCCCCGCCGCTGTTTGGGTCGCCGGGCTCACAGCGATTGATTGATTGATGTTTAATTTCCTGCCAGGCGGGGCCCCCCTCCCCCCGCAACCTCCCCAGCCCTCTTCCCCGCCCCCCACTCTCCTCCTTCATTGCGGTGGACCAGTCTGGCTTGGGTTTAGATCTTCCCCCACCAACCCCCATCCCAAAATAACCCAGAGACTTCCCCTACCCCCACCCCAAATTATTATTTTGAAGGCGCTAGATCTGGGGACGGAAAGGGGGAGGGGGAGAAATCGGAAACCGAGGACAACCCAAAAGGACTCACTTTGCCTGATGACTCAACGCAACTAATAATCATCTCCCTCTCAGTGTATCTCTCTCTGCGGCTTGTCAGTGAGTCCGGCTCCGGCTGCTGGCGGCGGCGGCCGAGAGGGGAGAGGCTGGAGGTGACAGCTTGGGCGGCCGCCGCGTTTCCTCCCGCGCGCGGTCCCGGGTCCCTGTGCCTTCTCGGCTCTCGGTGACACCGGCCCTAAGGCTCCGGCCGCGCCTCCTCGCGAACTAGCAGACCTGCGAAGCTGCAGCACCGGCCCGCCTCCGCCTCCTCCCAGTCCTCAGCCCTTTCTCTCCAGAACGGGTCTCCTTCCCGAAGGTGTGAAAAGGCTTTTTCAGCCTCCTTCTCTCTTTTCCCCTCCTCCGCCGTCTCCTCCCCCGCTCGCTCGGGTGCCCCTTTGGAGGAACCCTCCTTTCCCTCTCCTCCTCCTCCCCCTACCCCCCCCCATCATCATCATCATAACAACCATCTCTGCACTAGAAGACACCCTGACCCAGGACCTTAAACGTTAGGACCTGGGAAAGAGGAAAAGGGGAAGGAGTAAAGAGGAAAGAAGCCTAGGAGAACACTGCAAGGCAAAGCACCAGAAACTTTCCACCCTGGATTCTCTACTTTTGCTCCATGGACAGAGCCTCAGCCAGCCAAGTTACAGACAGACCGTGAGCAGTAAGTACTCAAGGCGAGGACTCCCACTCCAAGCTCGGGAGTTCGGGGAAGCCCCGGGTCCGGCTAAGTTCCCTCCCGGCAGCTCTCGCTCTCTCGGACAGCGCTGCCGAGGGAGTGCGGGCGGAATGTTCGCCCGCAGCCCTCCCGCTCGGTCTGCGCATCTCTCGCATCTCTCCTCTCACCTCCCCTCTGCCACCCCCACCTTGTCTCCTTGACACGCGGCTTCTCCCACGGCGAGAGCGCCCGCGAGGATTCCTAGCGCACTTTGCTGTGCCGGGTTCCTGCTTCTCGGGGATGTCAGTGACAATGTGAGTGCCGTTTCATCAGGTGTTTCCTCCTCTTCCGCCGCCCCCCAGATATCCAGGGCTGCCGAGACCTGTGGGTTCCTTGAGGAACGCGCTGCCAGCCAAGAGACCCAGAGGAAAACTTTTTGGAAAAATTTTTAAATTGGGGTTGATGAAGTCTGCTCCTTAACCTAATAATTTAAGTGCTTTTTGCTTTTGTGTTTTATGAAGAGCTTTTAAAAAATCACTTAGGATCGGAAGAACATAAGAACGTTCCAAAATAATAACGATTGTAGCCCCCGCCATTGTGATGAAGGTTATTCTGGAGAGTGTTCTGATGAATACCTCTAAATGTTTTTGGATGCTCATGAGTTGGTTTTGTGCAAAGTGTGTTTGTGTCTTAAGACTTGCTGGGTAAAGGTAAAAAGCGGGGATTCAAGGAGTCCGTATGCCAGGCCTTTGGCTCCTGCCCCGCCATTCACAGCACATTCATCATGTGGTTAATTCGGTTTCTTATGGACTTGTGTACATCCCCACCCCCTCTTCGAGTGGGTGAGATGGCTTTTTATGACGTTCACTTCTTCCGCAACCCTGACCCCCACACGGCGAGGCTGTCTCATCCGAGAACGGCTTATGCCAACCCTGCCCCAATGAATGGGCCACTTCTGGGCGCCCCTGGGCGCTGGCCTGGTGATCGTCACCGAGAGCTAACTCCTGGAGAGCGACCGGGCAGTGTCGCCGCACCTCGAGCTTCCTTTGGGCCGCCCAGTGTAAGGTGTGGATCCGCTTCCCGGCTCGGGCCCCTCAGGCAGCGTGGGAGGAAGTTTGTGTGGCTGTGGTGCAGCGCTCTGCCACTGGCCTGAACGTCTATCACGTGTGTGAGCGGTTTTCCCTCTTTTTTTTCCCTCCCCCTTCCCTCCCCCCCCGCCCCCTCCCTAGGTCCCTGCGCGTTTTATTGCGACCTGCCGGTGGGAACTTTGTCTCCGAGTCGGAGCAGCATGGAGCGGCGGAGCGAGAGCCCGTGTCTGCGGGACAGCCCCGACCGGCGGAGCGGCAGCCCCGACGTCAAGGGGCCTCCCCCGGTGAAGGTGGCCCGGCTGGAGCAGAACGGCAGCCCCATGGGAGCCCGCGGGAGGCCCAACGGCGCCGTGGCCAAGGCCGTGGGAGGTAACAGCCCGGAGCGGGGAGGCGCGCGCAGCCCCGCGGCCCCGCGGTAATGGCCCGGGTGTCAGGGTTCAGGTTGATTAGGCGCTGTCGCGGTGTAGGATTACAGGAAGTGAATTCCAGGTTGCCAAATAATGCCCCCGTCGCCTCTCATCTGCAACTGGTAGCTTCATCTAGAGTTAAAACAAGAAAGTGGTTTACCCAGAGGGTGGCATTTTTTGGGCACTTTGCCACTGTGTGCTGAGGTGTTGGCAGGTTTATGTCACAGCCAGCTAACTGTTTCTAGATTTTCCTAGAGAGCTTTTTAGTGATTTAACTCTTGTGCTTTGCCTCAGAGTATCTGTTGTAGAGATGAAGTTTAGGTGCGATCGCTTTTGTGTACTAGTTTTTAATGCTCAGGAGCAAGAGTGTTGGTGTTACTTTGTAGGTAGGACAGTGCTTCGAGATAAATTAGTAACAACTGGGAATATTTCCTGCCACATTTCAAGTAGGAAATAAAGAATCATTATGAATCTGTCAGGCCCTTAGAGGCTTTAAGGTCACCGTTTCTATAAAGTCATATGCATTTGTAACTTTGTTATGAATCGTAGCACAACAGGTAAAAATAGCAAAGTAGTCTTAATGGCTACATGCTGTTTACCTTTCCAAGAATTTAATACTATTTAAAGAAAAGCTTTTGTAGATTTTACTACTTAAACACCACTTTCTTTTAAAGTGATTAGGAAAAAAATTTAGAAAATAAAGATACATAAGAAATGTAAACATTATTAAAATATTTTGAGGCTTATGCCATTTGCTTAGTTGTTTTCTGCATATAAAATGCACAATTCAACCTGGCATGCAGTTTTTTTGTGTTTGAGATCAATCATTAGTTTAAATCTTTTTTTGCTTCTAGAGGTTTTTTTCCCCTAATATTTTCAGCAGTAGCTTATTTAATATAATTCTTTATATTAGCCTGCCTGAAATGATGCAAAACCGTGGCAAAACTTAATGATAAGCTCCAATCCCATGTTCTAAATAGCCATAGTATGTATTTCAAAGTAAAGACTTAAGTCTAAATGTCCATGCCTTTTTAAAGAGTTAAAACGGACATTTTATAAAATAACACGTTTCTATTTTTACTTGGTTTGCTATTATTTCTTCATGGTAGACATTCAGAATGGTTTGCCTTAGTTCCTTATATTAATCATCTCCCTTGAGAAGCACTCATTCTCACCATTTCTAAAGCTTTAAAGAATTATTTGGCTATACATTATGGCTTACGTGCCTTTTACGGACTTCAAGATATACTTTAATGAAGCAAAAGAAAACTTGATAGTTCTGCGACCCACTTTTTAAAAGTGGTGTTTATGTGTTATCTTGAGACTAGAACAATAACTTCAGACTTCTTGTAACATCTTTAGTGTATGCATATAAGAAAGAAAAATATATAGCAAATATGATAAAAGCAAGTGTAAGATGATATAAGTGCTGATACTATTTGATTGAAAAACTGGGAAATCCCTTGGAGGAGATGTGTTCTCGAAGTGGCCTTATGCACATAGAAAAAAACTTGGACTTGAAATTTTGGTTTCTTTCTGAAGACCTACTAAAAAATTCACTAAATTGAAAGAAGTCTATCTAAACATTTTAGAACGTAATTGTTACCAATGTGATTCCTTAAAATAAGGTGTTGTTTTTTTTTTCCTATAGCATATTAATTTCATTGACCAGGGATACCTTTTGTATAAAATAGTGGTTACGTTTCTTATTTTCTGAGATTATGATTTACACTTGACCACTTATTATAAATTTGATATAAAGCAAAATTAAGTCTTCAGGAGGAATAATGGATTTGTTTCAACAAGCTGCTTTAGTCATTTTTCTGAGCTTTAATTTAGTAATATCAAAGGTCTTATTAGTTGCTTTCCAAACTGAAAATAGATGTCATTAGTTTGTCTCAATAAATACTACGTATAATAATAGTAAAGTGGTTAAAAGAGTTCACATATGGTGGGCTTTTTTAAAGAAAGATTTTGTGGGGCGCCTGGGTGGCTCAGTCGTTAAGTGTCTGCCTTCGGCTCAGGTCATGATCCCAGGGTCCTGGGATCGAGCCCCGCATCGGGCTCCCTGCTCAGCGGGAAGCCTGCTTCTCTCCCACTTATCCTGCTTGTGTTCTCTCTCTGGCTGTCTCTCTCTGTCAAATAAATAAATAAAATCTTTAAAAAAAAAAATAAAGATTTTGTTCTACATAGCATAATAGATTATTTGGAAAGATTTTAATTTAGAAAACTTTAAAATATAACAACTTAGAACATAAAATTTTGACAGTGTAAAGTTTTCCATTGAATGTTAATATTAGTTTTGGGGTTTAAGTTTGTATAGTTTCCTACTGTACATTGAGATGGTAATAATTTCATTTCTTTGTAACTTTTAATCATGTGTATAGATTGGAGAAAAGCAAAGCCTTTTAAAAAGTACACATTTTAAATTTTAAAAGAATGTTTAAAATACATATCTAGTTAGCAGTTCTTTGTAATTGAAAGGTTTTTTGGAACATAGAGTAAATATAAAATAGATTATATTTCTCTTACCCTACCTTCCTTTGTTTAAGTTTTCTTTATGAAGCAATATAGTAAGCTAGACAACTACAAAATACTTATAACTATCACTTATTGCCATTTTCATATATGTTGTAATCTTGCCAATGTTGTAAAGATGGTTATAATAATTAATGTTTTAAAAATAGAGCTCAAAATTTGGGAGGATGTATTTGTTAATCTTTAGTGATTCTCTTTCTTAAAAGCTTTGCCCCTAAAAATAGGAGAGATCATTAAGTTAATTGGTTGCCCAATAACATGGCAGTTTATCTTACTATTTTTGATAAACAGTGAGGTGAATAAATGTTTCTGAATGCATTGGTTGCAATAGTGAATTCTGTTGCCACGATTCCACATTTTTAGAGAGAGACAGTTTGGTATGTTTTTTGATGAGAACGTGTTTGTTAAAAAAAAGAGAAATTATTTTAGTGTCTGGATTTAACTAGTTGAGGTGGTAGATACACTATCACAGTCTTCAAGGTTGCGTTTTAATAGGGGACTTAAAAGTTAGTGTGTTGTTTACAATGTGGTTAGCTTTAGAAGACTATTAGAAAGTAGATCAGTTTTGCTTTGTCTTTACAACACTTTCTAGGATGTTTTTGTTCTTATCTAAGTAGTGTGTTTTAAAGCATGTATATAATAAAATAAGTGCTCAGATGTGTATGACAGTCAGCTTTTATAGAAGGTCCCCAGGAAAAAAAAAAAAGGCTAATATCTCTTTAAAAAACATATGAAGGCTGGGAGAGAGTTTAGAGCAAGCAAGAGCACCGTGGTGTTGACAGCTTTATATCCCTGCTGGGTAACATTCACTTACTAGAATTGGCGTCCCCTCTCAGCTAGTAATTCACTCCATAAGGATTTTGAAAAAGGATGATTAATGGTGGGGAAATTTATATTTGTGAAATTGTTGATTAAAACTTACAGATCTATTTGAAGATTTAGAAAAAGAGAAGATTATTAAGGATGACGAAAATAAGAATCAGATGATCCTTTTTGCCACCATTAACATAAGTACCTAAAATGTTCTGCTGTGTGTAATGCTTCAGCCACGAAACGTACAGCATAAAATGAAAGTGATGCCAATCAAGTTTCCAGAGGAAGCAAGGCGTTCTGCTTTCCTCCTGGACTGCTGAAAGGCGCTGGCCAGTTGTGCTTTAATAGCAATAAATTATTGTGCTTCATTCATTGTTAACACAAGCATTTTCATTTTTAAATGTTTGGCTTAAAGAAGAACTTTCAGACAGCTTTATTTAAACTGAATGAACAGCGCTTGAGTATACCAGATGGTGTATTTGCTGATAGGAGGCATTAAACATCAGAAATCTTTTTGATATTTTTCATTTTTCTATGAATTTTGATAATTTTTTGGTGTTAAATGTTCTAGATTTTAGGGGAAATGAACACTGGGAATATCTTTTAAGGATATTTGCTGTTTTTGAAAAAAGTTTGCTTTCTTTTTGAAAAAGAATTTTTTAAAATAATGATTTAATTTTGTTGAGAAATTGCTTGTTAAAGTTACCTTATAAACTAGTTGACCCAAAGTCGGCCTATTCTTCTTGCTAATAGGCAGCCCTTTGAAGAACATAACTGTCTTGTTACAAGGGGGAAAAAATCATTATGCAATACACACTGATGTATTCAAATAGGGAAGCAAATGTGATCACGATTGTTGGGCAGGGCCTCATTTAGAGCTGAACATTGTCTACAACAACAGTTAGTTTAATTGTCTACATGTGGAACATTTCCTTTTAGATTAAAAGAAATGCAGTTCAGGTCAGGTGCAGTCACCATATTAGCAGTTGTAGGGAGACATTTTACTTTTTGAAAGGAGTGCAGATATGAAAGAATATAGATATTGACATATTAAAATGTATAAAATACTTGGAAATTTAGAAACATATTGTCAACCTGGGTAAAATGTCAAAAACTCATTAAATTCATTTTAGCCAAGGATGAACCCCATTATGCTTGTAGGGAGGCTTCAATGTTATTATTTCAAAAGAGAAAAGATTGTATTTCTCTTTTACATTCTACTTTTTTTTTTTAAGGGTTGAAGATCTTTTAAATAGAATGAACTTAGGCTTTGGGGTCATCCAACAATCTAGCATGTCCTCTGTAGTTTTGCTGAGGTAGAAAAATAGCCCTTCTCTAAAGTGTTTTTAGTCCTTGGCCTGTTATTAAAATAAAGATATACTTGGTTAAAAAAATATATGCAATGGAACATACACATTAAACAGAACATAGGGTATCCGCCCCTCAAAGTCCTGAGCATAATTTGATGTTTGAAGTAATTTTGGAAGCCTTGTGTTCCATCAACAGAAACCCACTGACCATTATATATTCAAGATCATCTGCAATGAAATGTGTGTGTATGTGTATGTGTGTTGGAACTACATAGATGTCCCTTAAGGCATCTATTTTTTA